CCCAGCACCTTTCTGACGTAGCCCAGGGTGGCCGTGGGGAAGGCGCACACCCTGGGGGAAAATGAGGATTGTGCCCGGTGCTGCTTGTGGGTAGCAAGACCCGTGAGCATGCTCAGCCCCTTCCCTGGGCTGGCTCTGCCCAGATCTGCGAATTAACGGCATAACGCAGCGTCGTTCTGTATGAAGCAATAAATTAGAGTTGATCTTTTTTTTTTTTTGCATATTTTTACACATCACATATTTAATGTCTCTCTGAAAATATAAATAAAACATACGTAACCATTAGAAATCCTTAGAATCTGGGAAGCGCCTAAGAATTTATTTGTTTTCAGGAGGATCATACATATTGTATTAAAACTATATAAAGGGTTTAATAAAATGGCAAAAATAAAGCAAGAGCGAAGGCTCTCAATCTGCACCGAGAGGAGGGAAGTGATCTTTCTTTGATGCCTATTAAATGTTCCAGCAGATGAAACCCTATATTCTGCCAGGAAATGAGTTTGCCACAAGCCGATTGGGTGCTGTCGTGTGTGCTCGACTTTACCACTGTCATTCCTCTTCTTCGAGCAGCAATACATTACGCCGCCTCCATTTTTCATTCCTCACTGCCCGAAATGCAAATTTTCTCTCTGTTGTTTATATTAGGTTTTCAAATATATGGAAATCCAGATATCTGGAGGAAAATGTCAGGGCCAGAAATACTCGTGATCTGTCTTTTCCCCAGCCTGACACTTTTCTCCATCACTTACACGGAAGCATGTGAGGAGTATTAACAGCAGGACGGGCTGGAGGTGTGCAGCCGGAGCTGCAGCTCTGTGGGACACGGAGCGGCAGAGGGCTGGGGCAGCTTGCTGCCTGCTGCAGCTCGGTGTTTGCACAGGTTTTTTCGCCTCTGTAAAACTAAACGTGTGGCCTGGGGAAGAAAAGAGCCACATTGTGCGGGAAGGTGTTGGAGTGAAGGGGACCGGGTGGTGGCTCTAACAGGAGCCGTGGGAGGGCCAGCAGGGTCAGCCCCGAGCACCAGCACCCGGCCTGAGCTGTGGCACTGCCCGTCCTGCTAGAGCTGGCGGAGATGTTTGCTGGGGGAATTGCTCTGGAAAGGGCCTGCAGCAGGATCTGCCCTCCCCACGTCTGCTGGCTGCAGACACCTCGCTCCTGCTGCTGTGGCCCCGCAGGTTGCAGTGAGCTCACACATCAGTGCTGCTGCTTCCACCTGGACAGCAGCTCTCAGCACACTACCAGTGAGAAGCAACGTGATTGCAAGAGGAGTTTAAGGCCAAATTAGACTTTTGGAGCCCCCCTAAGTTTTCTCAAGTGAGAGGTGTGCAAATAATACAGAACAAGGCTAAGCAAACAGCACTCAGTGCTTTTAGCTCCGAGGTGTTTGAATCGTCCCCTTTCCCTGCCGACCTACCCTGGCTGTGTGGCCTCCCCTCCGGGAGCCCCCCACTGCGTCCCAGCCCTCGGAGCCAGTCACCGTGCTGGTTATACTGGGCAGACCCAGAGCTGCCCAGCGCTGAGTCACAGGCACACAGAGGCTCTGGTGCTTCCAAAGCCGGGGTGTTTGGTGCGGCTGGCTCCTGCTGCTGGGTGCTTGCCGACAGCACCGCTATGTTCAGGGACGTGCGTGGCCGTGGGCGCTCCCATTGCTGCCGGGGCTGCGGCGCTCAGCATCTCACTGAGCTGGGCTGCTGGAGCAGCACACAGGCTGACACGGGTCACAGGTTAGATGAGAGCAATCCATGTCATCAGGCACCTTGCCATCCCCTGGGAGCCGAGGAGGAAGAAGTGGCGGTGTGAGAGGAGGGGAAAGCTACCGTGGGTGCATGGGCTGTGAATGACACGGCGATAATGAATGTGAATTGCATCCATTGCTTCTCCATGAATAAGAGAGCTATTTTAGGCTCTGGCAACTAGAAAAAAATGATCAGAAAGCAAAAATTGTTGTTTCCCAGTGTCGGAGAAAGCCTGATGTGCCCTATATGGTGCAATGAGAGTCCTTCCAGTGGGTACTGGGGGCTGCACACGTAGGTAACCAGCACTGCACACAGCACAGCAGCTGTTCCCGAGCTGTTTCTCCGTGCACGTATGTGGAGAGCTGAGGAACCAATGAATAACAGAAAATTCCATATTAATGAGTTTTTATTACATCTCTTTCACATTTCTGAATGAGTGTGTCATTCAAGACTGAGCTTCTAATGCTTTGCCCACACTGATGGTTTTCACAGAGAAACTGCCATGGAGCTGTGTTCAGCTCACTGCTGGTTATCTCCTGCTCTCAGCACCGCTCTCATCTTGCAGACCTGCAGAGGTAAACCAGTCCCAGACAGGTTATGTGTTCTGAATTTTGCAGTCAAGTGTAGACTGTGAAACTTGTTGGACATACCTGAGTACAGTATCTGCTTTCATGATCAGGCCAGTGCCACCACTTGAACACAGGTGCAAAGAAAATTGTAAAGGTTTGCAAACATGGTTACACTGAAATCTATGTTTGAATGAAATTTATATACACAGAAATGTTTTCATCTGTTTGCTTAGCTCTGCACAAACACTCCTTCAAGCACTTGCACATGGAACAGCAGAGGTTATACAACCTACACACACACAAGGACCACAGTCTTTTTAACTGGATGTTTTAGTATCTAGCACAAAACGGTATTTCTGAAATCACAGGAAAAAATCTAGGATTTAGAAACAAGCAAAAAAATCAAACCTGTGTGCTAAACATTGTTATCTGTCCCACTCCAAACACATGGAGAAAACTCTGATGCAGCCCACAAGTCCAGAGAGCACATGTGAAAGACCTTGCCTGGCTGCCCCTGATTTGCAGACCACCGTGTCTGCAGGACGGGTCCTCTTCCAACAGAGGCACCTTTTCAGAATGAAATTTGCATCCTTGTAGCAAAGCTATTCCTTTTCTATGTGACTCATAAAAGCCTCAAGCATATGCTTAAGTTTAAGCCCCTGCTGAGCTGAAATCGCTGGGTGCTCTGCTTCACCAGAGCTATACTTGGAGTGGCAGAGTGGAAACCCTGACGTGCATCTCACTGTGACATTGCAGGGAGTTATCATCTCAGGGCTCCTCTGGTGATGGCCCCACTGCCCATTTATTCACACGCATTCATAAAAAGCCTTCCCTGAAATACAGAGAAACAGTCCTGATCGTGGGGCTTTGTTTGGCCGTTTCTGCGTGCTCCACACAGGAGCCCCGGACACAAACAGGAGCTTTGTGTGGGTGCTGCCCCTCCTTGTGCCTCTGGCTTGAGTTTCCAAGCACTCTGTCCCAGGCCAGCATACTTCTTGCCTGGGGATGCCAGGCAGGCATCAGAGATGATGCAGTGATGAGCTTGCTTACCTGTGCAAACAGGAGACAGCAATTCTGAAAAGAGCTCGTACCTTTCTAACACGCTTCTGAAACCTTAGTCGAAGAGCAGCAGTTACGTGACTCAGCCAACCATAATTACCACGCACAGGTTTTTCCTCCCAGGGAGAGGCAATCGGGAAGTACATCTGGCCAAGGAACATGAGATCCGAGGACGTACTTGGGGAAGGGGGTTTGCGCTCTCCATCCCCTCTGCTGGAGGTGGCTGCTTTTTCCCACGGCGAGGTGTTAATATTCTCTGCACTTGCAGAGACGGCACCAGGGCGATTTCAGCCTTCTCTCCTGTTCAGCTTCCCCTTCCAAGGCTGTGCGTTTTGGCAGACTTCTTGTTCCAAACCAGTGGACCTTGTTACATGTCCGAATGTATAATCCACATCTCCCTTTCTTGAAGAGGCAGGAGCTGGGATAAAGCCCTGTGTACCTTAACTCCTTTAATTACCAGCTCTAACTAAGCTCTCTGGAAGTTTTCTTTCAGCTCGTATTTTCCTCCTTCCCCTGCCAGCTCCACCACCTGCCACAGACCCAGGAATGCCTGGGCACGTTGCCCCCTCCCTCGGCAGCAGCAGGGGAGCCTCAGGGGCTGCGCTGGAGGCACGGCTGCGTTCCAGAGGCTGGCAGAAGCCACCAGGACAGTGCTGAGAAGAAGCCAGTTTTGAACCCAGAAGCACCTGAAGAACATCTTCCCCTGACACCTCCTTGGCTGAAAGGTGGCACAATCTTTTGTGAACACCTTAGAGCCAGTCCAAGGCCATGAGAGACAGGTAAGGAGAATGAGCAGTTTCTTCGCTCCTGTCCCTTTTCATGAAGACAAATTAGGCAACCTGAGCGACTTTCCTGATATTCTGCACCCCAGTGTGTTAGAATATAGCTAATCCGCACCTCTCCACCTCGCTTTATTTCTGTGCTTTTGGCTTCTTTCCTTTCTTTCTGTTGGCAACAAGTTCAAATAATAAAGATAAGAGTAAAAAGAAAGGAGAATCCCTGTAGCCACACTGAGATCCTGAGCTGGAAAGCACCACGCAAGCACAAAGAGCTAATAGATCACTTTTGAATATCCCATCACTGAGAGCGAGGAGAGAGCTGTCCACAAGGTAGCTCCGAGCGTATCTGGTTTGAGGCTGATAGCAATTTGCAATAGTTTTATTTCACCAGAATGAATTAGTACAAGAAAATAATTTGTAGATTAAAACAATTCCTTCAGCAACATATGACTCAGAGTGAGGCAAAGAGCCAGTGCTGGAAGTTAAATTATTTGCAGCTTTGCTTGGCTCTCGGGCAAGGTCTGTTTTGAAGTTTGCCCTAATGAGACACACGGACTTTGTGCTGGGACACGTGGACATGGGAAGCTCAGCCACAAGCTGGCCCCTGCATTTGACTCTCGAACAGTCCAGATTCCAAATGAATGTTGTATTCACTTCATACAGGTAAACTTAAGCATCTTGGTCACCAGAAGCTGGACTATTCCCACATGTATTGCACAAGCCTGAGAGATGTGAGGAAGGACTTCAGGATTTCCCCTCAATTCATTGCAGCTGCAGGTGATGCATCAGAGTGAAGGCTTTCAGCTGATGATCTCCACAAACAGGCCATCCATCATTAGTGAAGGTCAAGTAGCAGATGATTTCCATCATTTTACAATCATATACTTCCCCCCTTGCCCTTGGTAGAGCCTTCAAAAGAAAGCTGAGCCCTTTCTTGTGTGTGTTTTTAGCTGCCTAGAGAGTGTGCTCAGTGCACTTGCTAGAACGAATCGTGGTGGAGAGCACATCTGAGTTATGCTTGGTCCAGAAATGCATTTGGAGGGAGAAGACAAAGATGATGGTTGCAGCCAGCTTATTCCAAGATACCTCTTAGTCACAGATGTCTTGGAATATTTTGGTTTCCTTTTATCCCCCACCAAGGCCTGAAAATAGGGGCCAAAATGGATCATCAGACTACTGAGGTTGGAAGAAGAGCAGAGCAAGGAAAGGAGCTGATAGGGCAAGAATTTAGCATGGGCTCATCAAATATAGAAACAAGAAAGGAAAAAATTCAGGGTGTGTTTTTGGATAACTTCTTGTGTTTGACCTACTTAAGTCCTGTCTCTTGAGAATGAGTTTCCACCCAGGCTGGTCTGGAAACCTGGCTGTAGCCAGGACGGAGCTGCCCTTGGGCTCCCTGGCTCCATGCCACGAGCTGCTGGCTGCCTGCGCCTTGTCCCACCTTGTGCACGGGCAGGTTGGGAAAAAAACCTCTCCTGCACCCAGCAGTTGTACTCTGTTTTTCTGTCGTGGGCCAGACTAGAAAAGGAGAGCTCCTACCTGGCTGCTGTCGCTGAGGAGAAGCGCTGTGTCTGGAGCACGCACAGGCGATTAAATGTGTCATGTGTGCATCATTTAAATTAACGTTGCTAAAACAACAATGCTATTTTTAATATTTAAAGAGCCTCTTTGAAGAGTAGGAGAATCTGTCACCTTTCCTGGTGGATTTGAATCCTGTGTTCTGAGAGTTTTTCTTCTCTGATTAAAGGAGTTGGCTGCGCGAGGAACAGCTACACATGATGTGCCGGGAGGGGGTGCGGGACCAGGACGCATCCTGGGGAGCAGCTCCCACTCGCAGCCTTTGAGGATGCAGCCAGGCTGATTTTCCAGGCTTTCCTTTGTGGAGTTCCTACAGGGTGGAGTCCTTGTGCCAGAAACCAGGGCAGCTGGCCGACCACTGCCCTCTGCTCACCTGCCCCTTGCTCTCTGCTGGGACACCAGCAGCAGTCGTGGAGCATCTCGGGGGCTGTGGCACTGCAATGACAATGCTCTTTGTCTTGCTGCTTGCTGGGGACTGTTTCCTCCCACAGCTCTCCTGTCCCGGCTGGGGAGGGGTCTCCCCCTGGTCCCCACATCTCCTGTCGCAGCAGGGCTGTGAGGGCTGCAGCCAGTGCTGAACCTCTCGGCTCCCTCGTGGTGCCAAATGGCCACGAGCCTGGCACCGTGGTGCTCCTGGTCAGGGGGGCTCTGAGGTGGGGGACCCTTAGGGCTGGGGCTGCTCCATGGGGACCGAAATGCACCAGCCCAGGTCTCCCTGCTCGGTGTGAGCTGCCACAGGGGCAAACCAGAGCCATGTGTCCCATCTGAGCGAGGTCTGGGCGAGTCTCCGTGCGCCTCACAGGCAGCGCCTTCGCTGGTGCGGCAGCAGGGGGCTGGCCTCTGGCAGCACAGGGAGCTCCCCGTCCCCGTGCAGCTGCTGACCCCTCTAATCCAGGTCCCCTCTCGGCATTGCCTGCCTGCCCCGCCGTGTTTGTGCAGCTGGCTGCTCCTGCCGAGCTGCACAACCAGTGGTTGTCTCTGCTGGGTCTCGGTCTGCTTTTTTTTGGAGCAGGCCTCCAATTTGTCAACAAGGCTTTGAGTTCAGGTCTCCTCCCAGTGGTCTTATACTCCCCAACGGCCATAAGTCTTCTGCAAACACAGCTGGCATTCTCCCTTTCCCCCAACGCGGGGTCAGCAGGAGCAGAGAGCAGCCTCTGACCCACCTCCCCTGCAGCCACCACTGCCTATTGACGTTTGACTCCGGGAGCTCCAGAGGTGGCGATCCCGTGTCTGGGGCTCGCATGCCTTTCCTCCTCACCCTGATTTCCAGCCAGATGATGTTTGCTGTGAACAAGGAGCAGGAGCTGCTCTTGGAGCCTCTGCAGGGACCAGAGGCCAGGAGCCAGCCCTTGACCTCTCCAGCACCAGCTCTCAGTGCCCCTCCGTCCCTGCTAGGAGCGTGGTGCACTGAGCGGGGGCCACTGTCAGCCGTGCCGAGTGGGGAGCAGCTATAAATGGTATTGGAGGGAAAGGACTATTAGGATTCTGTAGCTCTGAAAAATACATAAGTCTGAAATAAGACTAATGAGACATTTACTGGTGCGGTTGGGTTGCATTAATGACCCTTCAGAGGATACAATTGCAAAAGGCTTTCACTGTAATTACCACACTAATGATCAGCAGTGACATCATTTTAGACCAAATGCAATGCTTGTTTTGGATACGTTTCAAGATCGGGACTTCTCCACGGCTGCCGTATCAGGCCCATCAGCATTATTGCCTGTCTCCCTGCTCTGCTGGCCATCTTTCTTAGCTGCCTCTTTGGCTACTGGCTTCCCTCCAGCCTGGCCCCAAAGCCCAGCGTTCCCCAGCTTTTTAAGGTGCTTCTGGGACGATGAGCTCAGACCCGCGATGTGTCAGCACCAGCTTCCCTTCCCCAGGCTGGGCATGAACTGAAGGAGGAGAGAAGCAGGGGCAGAGCCACCACGTCCTTTTATTCTGTGAGCATTCTTAAAAGGCTTTTAATAAACAGTGATTTATCATCTCCTGGCATGGCCGGGAGCACCGTGCAGCCTTTGAACAGGACCTGCTCCTGGGTGCACTCTTACAGCCGGTGGGGACAGGCGGGTCCAGATCTTCCCCAGATCCTCTGGGCTTGGAGGAACATATTAATTAACCTCATTAGCTGGGATCATTCCAGCGCCACAGGGAGAAGGTGTAACAGTGGCTGAGCCTGCGGTCCGGCACAGGGGAAGGGCTCTCTGCCAGCCAGCACCGGGCAGGGATGGGGCAGAAGGCGTGTGGTGGGGCTGGGGGCAGGGCACAATGGGGACAGAGCCCCTGGGGGGCTGGCAGGGGCCTGGGGTGTCTGTGAGCCCTTGTGTGCGCCCCTGCCCCTGCTTCCCCTTGCTGAGGATGGCACTGACAGCCGCTTGTTAAGCCTGACAGAGCATCAGCTTTGAAGGAGTCGAGGAAAGCAGGGCTTTTTAATTAAAAAAAAAAAAAAAAAAAAAGCAAGTCATGATTTCTGCCTTTCCTGCTCGGCTCTCCTGGAAGCAGCATTCCTGCTGCAGCATGTACGAGCAGCACGGTGATGGCCCTGTCATCCGTGCCCATAGGCTACTGCTCCCTGCCCCAGCCCTCCCACCAGGGTTTGCCTTTGAAGGCGAAGGCGCCGCTCTGTGACTGTCCTCGGGGACGTTCATTTTCTCTCCTGCAGACCTGCTGCTTGTCACCAGCGAACATCCCGCCAGGCTCACATTGTCCACTCGTCCCCGGCAGCATCCAGGGAAATCTTGGTGCCGATAGCAGGTATTGGCAGGGGGATGCCCCCAGAAGGGGGATGAGGGTTTGGGAGCCGTTCCTTGTGGTTACCAGTCAGGCTCCGGGGACTGCTCGGTTTATGCAGAATGCTAAGTGACTTTCATTCTCTACCTGTGATTTCCTGACAGGTATGTGGAGTTTTCTTCTTTTGGAGCTCATTCTGTCTCTGAAGAGGGTGAATGGTAATCAGGAGTGTTGTCTCGGGTGAAGGCACTTATGACTCGCAGCCATAAAACACGAGTCTTTATCATAAGGGAAGCAGAGGGGAGCATTAATCCTCGCAAGGAAGTGAAAACAGGCACCAACATCCATAATCACTGCCTTCCTTAATTCCTAAGCCTCCCTAATCCATCTCGCACTCCGTGTTTGTCAGGGCGCCCAGCCGACACAAGCCAGAGCATCCTGCCCCCGTGTCCCCCGCCCGAGGTGCTGCCCGCTGGTGCTGGCCGGGTGCCCTGCTCCCGCTGTGCCCCCCGGGCTGCTGCAGCGCCGGCCGTGGGCTCAGCCCTGCCTCCAACACATGCCCCCCTGGGCTGATCCCCCGGCTTCGTTTCTGAGAACCCCCCCCACAGGAGCTTTTGCAGAGGGAGATTTCTCCGTTTCAATTCCATTACCTCCGAAAATCCATGAGGCGTTTGGAAAACGTCACCGGCGACATTCAAAATAATCTCAGGCATCCCCTCTGCTGCTCCCGCTCCCAGGCCCTGCCCTGGCACCGCTGAGCTCCCGGCCACGTGCGGCACGCAGTGCTCGCAGCCCTGATCCCTGTCCCGCTGTGCCCTGCTCGGAGCCCGAGGGCTCGCTGAGGGCCGTGCTCTGCGGCAACGGGAAAAGCAAGCCCTGGGAAATCGGCGTTTTGAGGGATTTACTGGTGTCTTCATAATTCAATGGGGAGTTTTTATATTGCTTTTAATATCAACATTTCATTTTATCATTTCCTTTGTTGTTGTTGTTGTGTTTTTTTTTCCTCCTTTCTTTTGACTTCTGAAATAGAATGTGGTGAGATACCTGAAGTAGGAAAACTGAAGTGTCGTCTTTTGAAATATTATTTTCCAAGATTAAAAATTAATGCCATTTAAGGGCAAAATGAAGTTTCAAAGCCTTGAAATTCTCCATGAAATGGAAATGTTACTTTTGTTTCGGCGCTGGCTACAACACATCAAAGTCCAAGGAGGGATGTTTGGCCTTTGTAAAGGTCCTCCCGAGCGACCCGTTTGGGTCACGGCGCTGTGTTTTGGAGGCAGCTCTGATTGTCACTGTACCTCTATCACAACAGGACATATAAATCTGCAGAGTAACTTCTGTTAGATGCTACCAGGCTTGGGGGGTTTTACAGTCAGATTTACATCTCGGGCTATTTTTGCTGAAACCTTCGCACTCCAGTCAATGACTAAATGTGTATTTGTGCCAGGAGTGCAAGATCCCTGCTACACCTCTGGCACAGGCACAGCCTCACCCAACGCACCCCCTGCCCCACCTCGCCCCGTGTAAGTCAGCTCGGGGGGCGCAGTGTGGGGCCGAGGGAAATGGGCTGGAGGGGCCCATGGAGAGGGTCCTGAAATGCTGCCGGCCCCGGGCACAGCACGTGCTGGTGGCAGGCGCCTGGAGGAGCCGCGGCCGCTGCCCCCTCCCCAGCCCGCTCAGGTGCTCGGCGGCAGCGAGGAGCAGGGGGGGCCAGGGGGGTTCGATTCAAGGTCTGTTCACTGCTTGAGCGATCAACATCATTTCCATACTATAATTACATTGCCCAATCCTCTCCTGATTTTACTGCTATCTTGTAAGGCGTCCCGGTTGTGAGTAATTTAAAGCTATATGAGATGTCAGGCTCTGTGAAACAATCACCCCTCAAAGAAATATGGCCTGAGATAATAATTGATAAGTCCCATTAGGCAATGGGGCCCGCTCTTTCCTACTTGGCCTCTTCGGAGACGGCCTTGTTGGTTCACTTAATGCAGATTTTGTCACTCGGCGTCATTGAGAGCAGCACGCCCAGCCCGTGCCAGCAGGGCACACGTGGGGGGACCCTGGGGTGACACCGGGGAGCGAGGGGAGCCGGCGACTGCTTGCTGCAGGGCAGAGCAGGGGTAACCGGCATGGTTCAGCCTCCCCCTTTCTGGGATCGCTGCGTTTCCACCTGATTTATGGCCGTGTTTTCACACAGCACACATTATCAGCGTTCGTTACCACCTGCATTTGCTCAGTGGGTTTTGTCTCCGTGCTTTCTCCTCCATCTCATGTGCAGCGGGGAAACTCTGGGGCATCTCTGCTGAGCCCTGGCCGTGCTCCACCTCCTGCTGCCACCGCTGCCCCCGTGTCACCTGGGGACAGCAGGGGTGTCCCCGTCCCTGTGAGGGCAGCTTGTCCCTGCTGCGCCGGCGCGTCGGCAGCTCTGCCGTGTGGTGTGACCTCTGTGGAGGACACCTCTTGGGGACGCGGGTGCCAGCAGCCACCCTGGCCCAGGGCACCCTCTGCAGGGATAATGTTTGGGCATCTGCTTGCTCAGGCCAAAAGCTGTAGGATGCCTGAGAAGCCACGTCTGTGTGGAGCTGTGTCACAAGGGCTCCTTCTGACCAGCTGTGCCAGTGCAGATTTGAGATAAGTGTGCACAAATACCGGTGCTCCTCCCATGCCTGGTCTCCGGTGCCTGGTGCTGGGGTCCTGTGCCCTGCCTGTGCCCACCCAGGGCTCGGTCGCCCCCCTCATGCTCTGTCCGGGCCACCAACACCCTGCCCTGGCTTCCCCATCCCCTTCTTCGCCGCCCGTCTTGGCTGCAGAGCTCCGTGCCCGCTCCCCGTGGCACCCCACCGTAGAACCGCGTTTTATTCCTGTCACTGGATCTGGTGTTTTTTAATTCTACGTCTGCTGCTTTTTAATGATTGTACAGCTTACAAACTCTCTTCCTTTAAACTTTTAAATTTTTAATTAGGTAAGAGAATGTAAACTTAATTTTTTGTTGTCTGAAAGATATGAGAGGTCTTGCCCATGACAACAGAATGAGTGATGAATTATGCAAGTAGCGAGGGAAAAGCTGGCTTTTTTGATGTGCTATTTTATAATTGCATAAACTACTGCACTCCTGAATCGGGCAAACATTATTTTACACATTCAGTAACCTTTAAAAAATGGTGACAGCTAATTTATGATGCTCTGTAACAACAACAAAAAATTACAACAAGAATTTTAAGAAGTCTACAAAACTTGAGCGCTCTCTCCAGAAGATGTGGAGAGTTCAAAATAGCACTGCTGTACGGAAAAAGAGAGATTTTTTTTCTTTGTATTTAGGCATAAATACCACAAATTAATAGAGGTGCTTATGGAGGTCTTAATTAGAGAGGGCTTCTAACCTTCAGAGCAGCTTTATCTTATCTGACGGAACAGGATTCGGCATGGCGAAACCCTGATCCGTGAGACCTGCACTACGAAAATGAATGTTCAGCCAGCCGTGGTGTGACGTTGGGGTGGAATGTGGAGCATTTTCACTTCATGTTAACTTTAGCCTATTTGGAAAACAAAACACTTTCCCGGGAGGAATTTCAGTATCTGAAATCTTTTTTCTCTCCCCCGGAGCTGGTTCGCAGAGACGGAAATCTGTGTTTCACAGAACGGAAAATTTCAAGAAATGTTCCAATTCATAAACACTGAAACAATCTTATTAGAATGACACAATCTGACAGCTGTTAAAATATTATAATAAAATGTAAGAAAAAGGAGAAATATACCGTAATTCATTACTATATTTGAAATGTTTGAGAGAGTAAAGAAAGTCAAAACGGATCAGTTTTAATCCTGGATTATTTAATTGAAAACTTCATCACGATGAGCAGGTCCCCTCGGGATGTTTTGATGGGGATGTGAAGGCACTTTTGGAAAAACATCTGGAGCCGGAACAAAGTGATGGTTTCCAAAATCAGCCCCAAATACAGGGCAGCTGCTGCCCCTGCCCCGGGCATGGCTCCGGGCACCTGAGCGCTTTGGTCATGGCACCAAGGCAAGGGCTGTTCTGGAGGTGTCCTGCTGGTGTCCGATGGTGTCCCACTGGTGTCCTATGGTGTCCTGGCAGTGTCCTGGCAGTGTCCTGCCTGCTCAGGGCTCTGGTTTGCCTTCCAGACCCCCGGGTCCTCCCAGCTTTGGGCCGTGGCTGTTTGTTGGAGGAGCAGTTCTGATGCTGGTCGGTGCTTTCCTGGGCTCCCTCACACCGCGGCTGGCATGTGAGTGAGTCCAGGAACTGAAACTTCCCGAGGCTGCGCATTCTGCTCATCTCTCCCATCGCAGGTTCCCTCAGGACCGCGCAGAGGAGCGGGGCAGCCAGTGGCAGGGGCAGCACCACACGGGGAGGGGGTGCTGGGTCAGCTCAGCCCCACCAGGGCCCAAACGTTGTGCTGGGAGATGGCTGGAAACCCTGCGTTCGGTGAGTGATTGACACTTCGCCCAGCAACACACACAAAAGGGGCCATCCTTTTGCTTGTGAAGCTCCATCAGAGATCTGTAGCAGCAAAATAAAAATGCAAATGTTTATCTCAATTCCTCTTTCAGTCTTGAGTGCTGGTGAAAGCAGCTTTACAAATTCAGAATCCATTGCCTCCCTGGAGAAATCCCAGCACTGTTTTGTAAGCAAAAGTAAAAGTCTTTGCCACACAGCTGCTGTGAAAGTTTTGACAAGGAAGCAACTGCTTTTAAGCTAGATGGGTGGCACACACCGCCGGGACTCGCTCCCTGCTGGCTGAGGCCGGGCAGACCCCCAGGACCCTCGGTCACCTCGTGCCATTCCCCTCTTGGTGCTGGTGCTGGTGGGTGCCTGCGCTGCTGCTCGTGGCCCCGGCCCTGCCATCGCAGCCAACCCAAGCACCCACCGCCAGCACACGGCAGCACCAGCAGCGCTGACCCCGCAGGGTGACGGCTCACAGACCCCATGGCACGGAGATCAGCACCCATGGCTCCGGGTTCTGCTGGAGGAGGCATTTGTGTTTTGGCTGAGCATGTTCCAGGCTTGCTGCCTTCACTTTGAAATCATCTTTCCTACCTCTTTCTCCCTCTCGTTTGGGTTGTAAATTTGCTGCTATTAATTAATTTATAATTAAGTTCTATACACCAACCGCTCACTCTAACAGAGCTGATTTCAGATAATCTCGGTTTGTCAAAATATGCCTGTCTCCTTTCAAAGCTGCAAGGAAAACACTGTGCAGCTTCAGGTTTTGAGATGTTAAACAGAGAGACAGTATGAGTATTTGCCCTGGAGGAGTCAGCTCAGTCGAACGAGACAGAGAAGAAAAATACAGCGTATGATTTTTGGCAGCAGGCAGCGTTTCCACTCCTGCAGCCCCGGGTGTGCGGCCGGGGGGTGCTGGCCGTGGGATGGGCAGCAGTGGGGGCTCTGCGCTGCTCCCCCTGCAAGCCCCCAGCCCCTCAGCCCTCTGTGCTGCCCCCGTCCCGAGGCCTTCAGCACGGCCTGGCATAGCACGGAGCCTGTGGTGCGGCTGAATTAAATAATAACTAATCCCTGCAGGAAGTGCTTAAAGTCATATTTAATATGTACGCAGACTATAACCTGTTTGCTATCTAATTGGCTGCAAACTAAACAAGCCATAGATATCCAATTATGTGATTGTATACAGAGCATCCTATGTCCTGCCGTAGCTCAGAGGCTCAGGGAAGCATTTAACTGCTAATAAACAAGGTGCTTGGTTTAATTTGAAAGGTTATTGCAGTTTAATATGACTCAATGGCGGTGAGCACTCGCATGGCGCGCTGCTGGGGCCA